CTCCCTTCTCATTTGGTGGCCAAAGTATTTGAGCTTCAGTTTCATTATCTGGCCTTCCAGGGAACAGTCAGGGTTGATTTCTTTTAGGATTGACTGATTTGATCTTCTTGCAGTCCAAGGGACTCTCAAGAGTATTCTCCAGCACCATAGTTCAAAAGAATCTATTCTTCGGCGCTCGGCCTTCCTTATAGTCCAACTCTCACAGCCATACATGACTACTGGGAATACCATTGCTTGGACCATGCGTATTTTTGTTGGCAGGGTGATGTCTCTACTTTTTATCATGCTGTTTAGGTTCGCCATCACTTTCCTCCCAAGGAGCAGGCGTCTTTTAATTTCATGGCTGCAGTCACAGTCTGCGGTGATCTGGGATCCCAGGAACGTGAAGTCTGTCACTACTTCCACAGCTTCCCCTTCTATTTGCCAAGGAGTGATGGGGCCGGATGCCATGATCTTAGTTTTTTTGATGTTGAGCTTCAAGCCCACTTTTGCGCTCTCCTCTTTTACTCTGAGCAAGAGGCTCTTTAGATCCTTTTCACTTTCAGCCATTAGAGTGGTATCATCTGCATATCTGAGGTTGTTGATCTTTTCCCCAGCAATCTTAATTCCCGCTTGTGATTCATCCAGGCCAGCATTTCGCATGATGTACTCTGCATATATATTAAATAAGCAAGGCGACAATATACATCCTTGTCGTACTCCTTTTCCTATGCTGAACCAATCAGTTGTTCCATATCCGGTTCTAACTGTCGCTTCTTGGCCCTTATACAGGTTTCTCAAGAGACATGTGAGGTGGTCTGGTACTCCCATCTCTTTAAGGACCTGCCATAGTTTGTTGTGATCCACACAGTCAAAGGCTTTAGCATAGTCAATGAAGCAGAAGTAGATGTTTTTCTGGTACTCTCTTGCTTTCTCCATAATCCAGCGAATGTTGGCAATTTGATCTCTAGTTCCTCTACCTCTTCGAAACCCAGCTTGTACTTCTGGCAGTTCTCTATCCACGTACTGTTGAAGCCTAGCTTGTAGGATCTTGAGCATGACCTTGCTAGCGTGTGATATGAGTGCAATTGTGCGATTAGTTTTACAGTTATATAAAAATTACTGGTTGTGTTGTACTGTTAGAAACACATCATAGATAATTATGAAATTATTGCAAGGTGAACTGTCTCCAATTTAATAGATTAATCATTCATATTTGGACAACTTTTCTGCTGTACTTTATTGGGAGGAGAAAAATAATCATTACCTTAATAATAACACTTTAAATAGTTTTATTTAACTAAAGCAATAACATTATAGCATATGCATTCTTGTATTTGCTTAAACATCCATATTTGTTAACTGATGTGGTTGAACAAAATATCTTTTAAAAAAAACACAATTTAGACTATCAGCTAGGTCCACACATGAAAAACTTCAAATACTGTCCTCTGTAGCTCACTCATTTTCATCTTCTTGTTTGTTCATAATCTGGAAAAGAAAAATAAGCTTTCCTGCTTTATCTGATCCCAAACGATTTCTCAATTTAGAATGAATGAGTCCAGAGGAAGAGAATATTCTTTCTACGCCAGCAGAAGAAGCTACTGCTGTTAAAAGTGAAATCATCAGACTCTAGATCCAAGTGCTTAAGTGACTTCCACCAGTTCACTGGTGTGACTTTCTTTAAAACATCATCAGCAGACATATATTTCTTGAATTGTTCCCCCTTAGCTCTGAAGTTTATTATAGTTGGCATTATAGATGAATGATTGCTGGATACCCATGTCATAGCTAACTCCTCTTCCTCAACACTTAAGGTTTGACCCAGTACCAGTACCATTTTATGGCGCGCATGGCCCGGCCCAACAAAGTGACCTCATAACAAATGAGGTTGACTTCTCTGACCGTAAATAATCATGTATTTCTTCCTTGGTTTTAGTTATTTCCAATTTAATATTCCTTCTATTTGAGTTTGTAATCCAGTCTGAAATCCAAACCAAAGCAGCTGCCTGTTGGTACAGTTCCCCCCCTCCCTCCTGTAATACTTTAAATCTTATTCTTGGCTTCTTCCCTTCCCATACAAAATTGTTTATCATTTTCTGCCATTTTAAAGATCTTTTCTTCTATGTAAATTGGCAACATTTGAAACAGAAAGGTTAGCTTTGGTAGTATGTTCATTTTAATAGCAGAGATTGGTGTAGTGGTTAAGTGCGCAGACTCTAATCTGGGAGAACCGGGTTTGATTCCCCACTTTTCCACTTGCACCTGCTGGATGGCCTTGGGCAAGCCACAGTTCTGGCACAACTGTTCTTGAAAAAGAGCAGTTTCTGTCAGAGCTCTCTCAGCCTCACCTACCTCATAGGGTGTCTGTTGTGGGGAGGGGAAGGGAAAGGAGTTTGTAAGTCGCTGTTTTGTCCTGTTACATATATTCCCAAATATTTAATTGGCTTTTTAGTGATAACACATTCCGTTATTTTTTCTATCTCTTCTTGTTCTTTGGTTGCTGCTAATAGCAATGAGAGCCAGTTTGGTGTAGTGGTTAAGTGTGCGGACTCTAATCTGGGAGAACCAGGTTTGATTCCCCACTCCTCTACTTGCACCTGACTGGGTGACCTTGGGCAAGCCGTAGTTCTGATAATAGCTGTTCTTGAAAAAGAGCAGTTTCTGTCAAGAGCTCTCTCAGCCCCAGCTACTTCACAGGGTGTCTGTTATGGGGAGGGAAAGGGAAAGGAGTTTGTAAGCTGCTCTGTGACAGCTTTGGGTAGTGAAGGGCGGGGTATAAATCCAATCTCGTCTTCTTCTTCTTCGTCTTCTTTTTATTCATTTTATTTCCAGAATAAGTTTCAAATCTAATTATTTGTTCCATTATATATTTCAAATAAGTATTTGGTTTTGTTACTGATATAACAACATCATCCACATAACTTTTCATTTTACATTCTTCTTTATTTTCCTTTATTCCAGCAATTCTATTATCTAATCTTTATAGCCAATGTATCTATTGCAAGAATAAATAATAGTAGTGATATTGGGTAACCTTGTCGCGTTCCTTTTGTTATCTTAATTATTTCTGTTGAAGAACCATTTATTAAAATTTTAGCTTGCTGGTTTGTATAGATGCTTTGTATCCAATTTAAAAACTCCGTTCCGCTGTTCATGTTTTGTAGTACTTTCATTAAAAATATCCAAGAGACGTTATCAAAAGCTTTCTCTGCCATCTAAAAGCATGAAGGCCATCTTTCCTCCTTTTCTCCTTGAATGCTTGATTGCATTCAGCAGATATCTGATATTATCTTTCATGTATCTTTTTGAAACAAATCCTGTTTGGTCTTCATGCATTAAATCTGATATGCATTTTCTTAGTCTCTGCCATTACTGTTGTGTAAATTTTGTAATCTACATTCATTCGTGAGATTAGTCTGTATGATTTTGGTGAAAACGGGTCATTCCCTCCCTTGTGTATTAATGTTATATCAAAATTGTAATTGTGTGTGGTTAACAGCTCTGAGCCTTCTTGGATAGAGTGAGGTACAGATACTTTAACTAAGATGGATCTCTTTCTCCCTGCACTTTGAAATCTGAGCTTCCAACTCTGCTATTCATCCTTTCCTTTCCCAAAGATTTCATGAATAGGGTTGCCTGTTGATTTTAGGTCATGGACTTCCTCCCTGCCCCGGTTCAGGTATTATGGGAACATGAGCAATCCCAGAAATTTCCAAACGATGTGCCAGGACAACATAGTACACTGAGAAAATCAACTTGTATCCTTCTGCGCAGACTTATTCAGCTCTGTGTCTGGGTCAGGTATGGCTGGATCACCCTTGAGAATGTAAGAGTCTGCTTTGCTACATCAGAGTGAGAATCCATCTAGTTCACCATCCTGCTGCCAAGAGCAGCTACCCAGATGGAAGCCCACAAGCAAGTTGTGACGTCAACAACAGCCTTCCCTTGAAGTCCATGTCTCTAGCCCCCTCCCTGCCCGCAACTGGCTATCCACTGCCCTTGTACACAGAGATTGCATAGCCAATGGCCATTGGCAGACCTCCCCTTTGTGAATTAGACAAATTTACTTTAGCGGAGTGGCCAGTCGTGTCCTGCGTAGTGCTCCAGTCCAGCCCTCCTTTTTTTCCTCTTCTGGATCTGCTGCTGTCAACTGTGTTCTAGCGTTTATGGGTCAGACATTTCACTTTCCAACTTTTGCCACACTATTAATACTTCTATCAACCTTTCTTGTGTCCCCTTTAGTCAGCCTCCCCCCAAATCTCAAGTGCTATAGCCTTGCCTCACGGAACTGGGCTCCCCATGGCTACCACTTGCTCCCTCTGAGCCTCTGCAGACTCTGCGCAGGATGCGGGGAAAGCCAGGGTGATCCTTGGGCTCAAGACAACCAGACTCGAACCAGTTATCGTTTTGATGTCTTTGTTGAGAGGTTCAAGGCAGCCAAGGGGTGTTCGATGTCAGTACAGAGCTGCTACACTGGGGTGGGGGGTGGGGAGTTTTGAACTGACTTCCAGGTTTGTTTTGGCTCCCTGCTTTATACGTGTAAGAGCAAAGCATGCCTTCAGCTTTAAAAAGCCTCCTGAAACAAGGATTCTGCTTAGTGGTCAGATGGCTGTGCTGAGCTTGTGTGGGGAAGGGCTTGAACCCTTGTAATGTTAAATGACTGCATTTTGACTGGATAGTCCCATGTTAGATGCCATTTTAATATGCCTGTTTTTCAGTCTTTTGTTTGTAGTATTTCATGTTGCGCATCAATTGTGTAAATCGCCGTTAATAGGATAGGAGCAATCTCTTTAATTGCAAATGTGCAATATACTTGAGTGGATCAAAAGGGCTGATTGGGGAGGTTGGGAAGAGGCAAATACTCAAACGTTGGGGGAGGCTTGGTGGGGACACCGTTTTGACAGATGGGCTCTTAAAAGAACACAGGGGAGACCTTCTGTGGCTCTAAGAATGTCTGTCGCCCATACTGGTATTTTCTTGGCTGAAAGCCTGTTTATGTACCGTTTCCATTTCTGTAGGATTACATTTGTCCAAGGTGCGAATCTGGTTTTATTGAAGAGCTTCCAGAAGAGCCCAGGTAACCAGCCTCTTTCTGATCCTGAAGATCTTGAGTATTATTATGCTTGTCTTGTTTGCTTGTCAAGTGTGCAGGGAGCTCACGAAGCCGGGCTTGGAATTCCCAAGTGGTTTCCTTCCTAGGAACTGCTTCATGGCAAAGGTCAGGTGCTTTCTGGCCAGCTTCCACCGGCATGTAGAGAACAGTTTTAAGACAAAACTAAAGGAAGTAGAAGTTATTATGTGTCGTGGGCCTACGGTTTGAGAATGGGTATGGTTTGAGAATGGCTGCTCTGGTTGTAACTCTTCCAGAACATTTCCCAGAAACTGAAGATAAAACCACGGTCTTTCTAATGCTGGAACGTGGCAACAAACGTTGGGCTTTCCAGTGACATGTAGGGTACCCTTTGTGATAAGCACAGCCTGACTGTGGAGAAATGTTTCAGGCAGCAAAAATTAATCTAGAAAAATACAATCTGCACAAGGAATTATAACCCCCCCTCAATACTTACGTAGCCCACCTTCCCGTGTGTTCCTATGTTAGTGATCTGTGGCCTTAGAGAGAAGATGAGCGCAACCCAGTCTCTGTAGAGCCTCACTTGCCTGTTCAGGTATTCTTCATCCTCACAGGCTGGTAGTGTTTATTTTATGGGCCGAATTCCCCGATCTGCAACTTTGGTTCTTCTCTTCCCAGGAATGTTGAAAATGGCTCCAGCTCTTCTGGCTTGACCAGTGATCAGAGCAGACATCCATTTGAGGTGAGCCCTGTTTTCCCCATCGTCACACACACTGGCTTCAGGTTGGATAGCCAGCATTGCTGCCAGTCGGGTGACTCCAGCCGCCTCCTCTCGATTCTTAGCCAGGTTCCTAGTAGAAGAAGAGTTGGTCTTTATGCCCTGCTTTTCTCAGCCTTAAGAAGAAGAAGAGAAGAGATTGGATTTATACCCTGCCCTTCACTACCCAAAGGGTCTCAGAGCGGCTTACAAACTCCTTTCCCTTCCCCTCCCCACAAAAGACCCCCTGTGAGGTAGGTGGGGCTGAGAGAGCTCTTGACAGAAACTGCCCTTTTTCAAGAACAGCTCTTATCAGAGCTACGGCTTGCCCAAGGTCATCCAGCCAGGTGCAAGTGGAGGAGTGGGGAATCAAACCCGGTTCTCCCAGATAAGAGTCCGCACACTTAACCACTACACCAAACGGGTCTCACAGCAGCTTACTGTTGCCTTTCCCTTCCTCTCCCCACAACAGGCACCCTGTGAGGTAGGTGGGGCTGAGAGGGCTCTGAGAGAACTGGGACTAGCCCAAGGTCACCCAGCTGGCTTCATGTGGAGGAGGAGTGGGGAGTCCAAGCTGGTTCTCCAGATTAGAGCCCGCCGCTCTTAACCGCTTCACCGTGCTGATGTAGAGGTTGTTATTGCTTCTCCCATTTGTATCACCCACCGCCACCGCTACAGAAGGTGAGATGTACTTGCGCAGGGACTCCGGAACACATAAACACATACTGTAAAGTGTTGCTGGGAGAAACAAACGAGTTGAATAATTGCAGGCTCCTTGGAGTCCAAAAGAGGCTGCCTGGTGCATCTTTGCCCGTTCTGGCCTTGCCTCCCTCCAGTCAGGGCTGGCAACTCTGTCCCATTTCTCCTTTATGCAACCTGGCCGATGGCATGGAGGTGCAGCAGAAACCCACCTGTGCCGTGCATTGTTGTCTTGGCCTCTGCCTTGCAGATTGTCTATTAGCGCCTGTGACTCATGCGGAAGAACAAGAGGTGGGGACCTCTGAGCATGAGTCATCTGTCACATTCCAAAAGTGCACCTTTTGGGAGCAAGCGTGACCCGTGCTTTCAATTTTAATCTGAAAGGCATGCTTCGGTTGTCAGAAGTCTGGGAAGCTCCAGACTGTCACATTCCAAAAGTGCACCTTTTTAAGAGCAAGCGTGACCCGTGCTTTCAATTTTAATCTGAAAGGCATGCTTCGGTTGTCAGAAGTCTGGGAAGCTCCAGACTATAGTACTAGAGCAGAGCCTTTTTGGTGGTGGTGTCTGTCACAGCACGGCCTCCTTTGCAAGGCCCAACCAGTTCCGTCATTGTCCAGCTTCCACCCCACCCTCCAATTTGCTTACCAAGGCTTTAAATTCTTCATTGCCAGTCTGAGAGCCAGTTTGGTGTAGTGGTTAAGTGCGCAGACACTAATCTGGGATAACCAGGTTTGATTCCCCACTCCTCCACTCACAGCTGCTCGATGACCTTGGGCAAGCCATAATTCCACCACAGCTGTCCTTTAAAAAAAGCAGTTTCTGTCAGAGCTCTCTCAGCCCCACCTACCTCACAGGGTGCCTGTTGTGGGGAGGGGAAGGGAAAGGAGTTTGTAAGCCGCTCTAAGACTCCCTTGGGTAGTGAAGGGCGGGGTATAAATCCAATCTCCTCCTCCTCCACCACCACAACAATCAGTTTGGCTGCTTTTATTGCTTGATGTCTATTCATTTAATCACTCACAGTGTGGCAGGTGCTTCTAAGAGATCATTTTGGAAAAGTAGCTGATGGCTTCCAAGGGGGAAAAGACATCTTGGGGCCAAGAGGTTCTAGATTCAGGTTCGATAGAACTGGGAGAAAAGAGAGTGGCGAGTATTTCAAAAACAAACTTGGTGGAAAGATCCACCGCTCAGTGGGAACAGTGCAGAGTGCCCGAAGTTTGGATCCTTGCTACCTTCAGGGTAGCAGGGACAGGGAAATGCTTCTGTCTGCCTGAGACCCCAGAGAGTTGTTTCTGGCTGGTGCGGGCTGTCGTTGGAGGATCTGTGCTCTTGACTCTCTTGTGGGCGCTTCATCCATGTTTCCCCTCCTCTTGCCAGAATGTGGATCAGCAGTTATTCACCCTGCCGCAGGGCTACGGCCAGTTCGCCTTTGGGATATTCGATGACAGCTTTGAGTTTCCAGCCTTCGGGTCCAACGCACAGCCAGAAGACAACCGGGATGCCGAGAACCGGCGAGAGAGGGAGCACCAGTCTCGGCACAGATATGGCGCCAGGCAGCCCCGGGCTCGTTTCACCACGCGGCGCACTGCTGGGAGGCACGAAGGGGTCCCAACACTAGAAGGGTGAGGACTGTTTCGGGTGATGGGTGGTGGTGGTCCTGAGAGTGCCTCAGAATTACCGAGCATGGTGACCAGTGGATTACTGCTGCCTTCTGGGTAGGAATGTCTCTTCTCCCTTCGATGGTCCAAGATGGGGTCTCTCCATTCGCCAGGAGGCAGGTCCTTCACAGAGGAAAGGATTCTGGACTGAAAGGCACCTCCCACTTTCTCCCCAGAGCCAGTCTTTCTTTCCTTTCTTTCCTTTCCTTTGCTGGTTCCTTCTGATCTGTTACCTTGTGCTTTACTGTGTGGCAGGGACTGTTTCTGTCTGTGCCCATAAGTATTTTTTCCTCTCCCCCCTTCCCCCGGTCATAATATTTCTAAAGGAGAAAAAAAGATGTTCTCTGCTGCCTGGTGGGGGGAGGGGGGGACTGTGGGGCCATGGAGCCAGCCACACGACTGCATCCCACCCCTCACTGGGGAACACTGAGAGGTGAGTCTGCGCAGCCGACCCCCAGGCTTGCCACATCTCCGTCCTGGGGGTCCTGAACAAAGATGGCCTTGAGATGGATTCTGTGCCATCAGAGGCTTTGGATTTAGGACCTTATTTGTACCTGAAAGGGGGGGGGGGCTTTCTGGCAAGGAACCCCTTGAGCAGAGGTTCAGGTTGCAGTTAGGAGCATGAAGACCTCAGCTGGTACCCAGGGACATATGGGAAGAGACACTCCTTTAGATAGGCGGGCCCTACCTAGGGCATGAAGGGGTTTAAAGGTCATAACCAGGAATTTGTGTCCCACGCAAACTGACAGCCAATTAAGCCTCTTTTTTCAAGCACTGTGTTTGCATCGGCTAGCCCGGTGGTAGGCAAACTGCGGCTCGGGAGCCACATGCGGCTCTTTGGCCCTTGAGTGTGGCTCTTCCTGCTGTTGAGAGAATGGGGGAGGGCAAACAGCTCTTTGAGCTTCCAGAGGCCTCTGGAAGGCTGCAGTTGGGAACAGAATGCTAGCTGCTAGCACCTTGAATCTGGTCCAGCGAGGCCATACATATTGATGCTCTCTAGTGCGTGCCTAAAATTAAAAACAACAACATACAAACCTGACTTACCCAAACTTTCCAAGGAGATGCAAGGCCATTGTCAGGGGTCATTTTGTAGAAAAAGAGGTGCAGGAGCTCATTAGCATAACTCAGTAGCATAACTCAATAGCAACTTATTTGCATGTGCCACACCCCCTGACATCACCGGAAGTGTGTCAGAAGGCAACACCCACTGCTCAGGCTCCACTGGACTGTTTTGGATTGCTAGCTATTGGGGGGGGGACACACATGCGGATCTGTCCTCGCAGAGGAGGGGGAGCTTGTACCTGAATAAAACCTGGTTTTAAAGGTGCCACTGGACTGTTTTGGACCAGGGGGCTCTGCAACTTACCTGGCTGCTTCTTGCTCTGACTGAGGGCTGCTGGGAGCAGGGGGTGGGCCTTTTTGCATGTGCCCGCCCCCTGGGCTCTTTACTGCCAGAGCTCCGCTCCTGTGTGCTCCTGCAGGAAATGACCCCTGGCCATTGTTCACATTACTGTTCATCATGATTTATTTTGTCATGATTTAATTTTATGGATACTTTGGACATATAGAGAGGATGAACGAAAGGAGACGAAACAAGTATATAAGACGAGTGTGGATGGGAGAGTTGGAAGGGGTCGACCTCAGCGAACGTACCTCAATCAGATTGAGGACATTTTTAGCAAAGGCCAGTTTAGGAGTACCCTAATTAAGTTAATAACAATGTGCCTACCTAAGTTTAAAAAATGTGGCTCTCAAAATAAATTTCAATAGTGGTACCGTTGATATTTGGCTCTCTTGACTAAAGAGTTTGCCCACCGCCGAGTAGCCCTTGACCGTAATTGGGCTGCTCTGTCTTTTTAACCTGTTGGAGTTCCTGGACTGTCTTCAGGCATAGCCCAATACTGAGCGCATTTCAGTAATGCAACCACAAGATTACAAAAGCTTGGATTAGTGTGGCTGGGTGAGCTGCCCCCCTCCCTCATGGCTCCCCCTCCAGTTCTCACAGCAGGGGATGGGTGGGATTTTGCCCTTAACTACCCACCCCTCTCGATCAAGGGTGGCCTCAGATCCTTTTTTCCTCAGGTGCAGCCAAGTAGCTGGCCACAGGAGGGCAGGAGAGTGTCATTCCTAATGGCCCGTCTGGCCACTCTCTCTTGTGCCGCAGTCTGTGATAAGGCTGCTTTCCTCCGCTTCCTCTCCTCTCTTTGCTCCTGCATTCAGGGGCATCTGCAGGCCTGTGATGTGGTCTTCTGTGCTTGTCCTCTTCAGGCAGCACAAAGTCAGCTTGCCTCCGCTGAGGCAGCCTTTGGAACGGGTGCTTGGCTGAGGTGTCAGTCCCAGCTTCGTTTCCCCACCTGCCTTCCACCTCTGGGCTGCGGTCACTGCTCTGTAGTCCCTCGTCGTCTGGACCCCTGGCGGTCGATGGGTAGGGAGGGCGTGTTGGCTGGATATCTTCCCCTGGCACCTGTTCCCCTGCCAGGGGTCAAGGACTCCCGCACCAGGCAGAGGACAAGCCGTGTGTGTGGCTGAGGCAGTCGCTACTGGCTCCGGAGACGTTGTGAGAGGCTCCTCCTCTTCCAGCCCTAGCCAAGACTTTCTTCTGTATAAAGAAAGGTGACCTGGATGAGGCAGCTTTGGGGGGGGGGGGGCCTTCTGTGGCAGATTTAGGTTTTCGGCTGTATTAGAAGAAGAGAAGAGATTGGATTTATACCCCGCCCTTCACTACCCAAAGGAGTCTCAGAGCGGCTTACAAACTCCTTTCCCTTCCCCTCCCCACAACAGACACCCTGTGAGGTAGGTGGGGCTGAGAGAGCTCTGACAGAAACTGCT